CGATAATCTAAATCTAGATCTTATCCTTTCTCTTCACTTAAAAAAAACATAGTATTGTGAATAGACTGTTATCAATTAAAGCATAGTCAGAATATTTTTTTTGCTGATTCTGTTCGCTTTTAGATTTGTAATATTTAAAGAATGATAAATATTTCAACAGTAATGAAAGATATATAAATATTTCCTTTTTTTAGTTCATACGATTACTGACTGATTTTGATAATGCTATCTCTGCTAAATTTTAGCGTATGGAAGCTGCAAGCATTCACTGTTGCTGAAAAAGTTGCTTAATTATAACTGAAGACTTCAAGAGTCAGATATGCAACGAGCCAAAACTATTGTGCAGTTTAGACTGAAATGCTAAAAACCATTTATTCGACATTGCTTTCAGCCGTCTCACAGGTAAATCTCATTGTTTGTAGTAGAAATTTGATTTGCGACGCAGACATTTATAGTACTATTTTATTGAATGAATTTTAACTGCAAGCTATAGACGTAATTGCGTAACACGTGAATAAATAAGTATAAAATTCTGTCAGGTATTACTTAATTTTGGTTTGACAAGTACGCAAAAGACTATCTCAATTTAGTTGCAAACGACTTGCAATGTCAGGGAGGCAAGTTGACACCACAACAACGCCAGGATATCGTTGATGTGCACAACAGTCTTCGCTCCAATTTAATTAATGGCAAAGAACGGAACAGAGACAAAAAACCTATGCCAAAAGGAAAAAATATGCTGAAAATAGTAAAACTAATATGTCATTAGAACTAATGCATTGAAATCGTTTCATTTATGCTAAGTTAATTTTTTAATTCTCTGAAAATTCGATTGCTTCCATGAAACTTGCACTGTGCTCCACTCAAAAACCTGACGTTTGCTAATCCCATGCTTATTCAATTATGCAAATATTCATTCATTCATTCGATCAATCATTCAATCATTTATTCATTTAAGACATGGGGCTGTGATTTGGAGGAAACTGCGCAGCAGTGGGCAGACCGTTGCGTATTCGAGCATTCTCAACAAGCCAACAACGGAATAATGCCGGTGGAAATCTGTACATGTACTCTTCAGGAGACGTCTCAGGTATATTAATATTTCTATAATTACTGCTAACACTTTAATGTGTTCAAGACAAATTTGTGTCATGAATGGATGTCGAAAATTATTTTTCTCACAGTTTTATAGTAAGAGATAAAATGATTAAGGCTGTGTATCAGATTAATTATGCTTAATATTAACCCTAGAACTATATGCTTATTATATAAATTCTCATAATAAATCTACAAGTGAGATATGTATGCATATCTTCAATTTCAGATAAGATAAACAAAATTGGAGTAGATGCCTCTAAATCATGGTGGTCTGAGTTACCACAACTTTATCGTACCAATCCCTCAAATTTAAAAACGTTTACAGCGCTAAATAATATTGATTTGTACTTGCTTCATTGCATTGGAATTCTTATTGTTTTCAAAAGAGTTCACATCAAAAAAAGCTTTTTAAAACCAATTTTGGCATAGTAGATGGGATACAAATGTATATATCCAATCCACAGAGCTCAAGATTCTCGAAGGCATCTCTATCGTTGCGGCGAATTTGACAGGCATGAAATGACCCCTTGACAACAATAAAAAACTTGTAGGAAGTAATAACGATTGTTTTCTATTATTTTGAAAGCAAAAACAATTCTCTTCTGGAATGACAAGAAGCAGCTTGTGCTATTGGGCGGGCGATAGAATTTAAAAGATATCGAAAAAAGCACATTACATACGCACGCATCACATCTACACTACATCTCCACACCGTGTCCACGTACGACATCGGAACATCACATAAAACCTTCAAAATCTACATATCACATCTACGCACCACACATATTTCTACACACTACATAAATCTCCACACACCACGAACTTTCTACACAGCACACATATTTCCACACCACACATATTTTTATATCTCTACATACCACAAATATTCTTACAGAATAAAAATATTTATACACACATATCACTACATAAATCTCCACACACCACAAATTCTCCAACACATATTTCTATATCTCTACACACCACAGATATCTCTACAAACATATTTCTACACACACTACACATATTTCTACACACACTACACATATTTCTACACACACTACACGTATTTCTACACACCACTATCTCTACACACTACACTCGCACACCTACACACCACTCTTTTACGCGAGATCTCTACTTATTTCTAACATTTAATGTACCTACTAGACCAATTCAATAAGTATATCTCCTTCGCTTATTCAATCAGTTCTCTTTCCTTGGATATGCTTAACATTTAGCAAGATTGATTAAGAGTGAGACTTGTAGAAGTTAATTATTTTAAAGAGTTTTAGGTTAGATATCTCTCAAGACCCATACTGTCACAAGTCTCCTCTTTCTGTTTAAACATCTTTGATTCAACTTTATTTGGGTTTAAAATTAAGAAAAATAAATTGAAAGTATGTACGTCGTCATTGAGTCGATTTCTTTTTGGTACATAAAATATACCAC